ACTCCAAATTAGTCATTTGAGTAATAACTTTATTTAACCTGTAATTACACCCTCACGCCAGTAGGCGGCGCATGACTCCGCGAGACGGTATTGTGAGGTCAGAGGTCAGAGGTCCTCCTCTCCAAAATGGCAGAAGTGAGGCCAATGGTTCGGTTCCTGTCGTCTTTTATTTCCCCCTCCTTTCTTTTTTCTTACTGTACTTATTATTTATAGTAATTGTAAATGTTGTATGATGCAATTCTTGAATGTAAAACACAGTTCTTTGTACACTGCATTATGTATACACTGCTTTATTTTTCAATTGAAAAAAAAAAAAGAAAAAGAAGTGAGGCAAAGACAAACTTGACGGTGTCCTGTCTCATTCTTTCTCTTTGTTTTACAGGTCAGTACTGAAGTAAAAAACACATTATATTGGTCATAAACAATAAGTAACAAACAGTTAGATGTGAGAGTATAAATCAGTCATTAAATACTGTGTTTTTGTCAAGTTTGAGCCATGTAACAAGACGTGAAAAGACAGGTGAAGGAGAAGGTCTAGGCCCCATTTTGAGTTTATTACACATTTATTTTAAGCTCCTATTTTCCTAACTGAAAATGTAAGGAAGGGCTCCGACATTGTTTTGATTGTAAAAGTGTAAAGCTTAAGTTCACAGGTTCAGAAGTAAAAGTTAAAAGGGATTTCAAGCTGAAGTTAAAAGCCAGTCAGTAGTACACAGTTACTACCATGCGAGTCATGAGCCGTTAAGGTGGAGGTTATATATTAAAAATAGTATGTTAGAAGCAGTCCAGCTGCGGGTGTAGAAATTAATGAGTGTATTTTGGTTAAATGTAAGAATTAAATAGCAATATTGAAAATGTGTACAATATTAATATGAACAGCAATACTAAATGGGAATGTTTACTGTACATGATCTTAAAACAGGATTTTGATGTGTTCTCTATGAGATTTTATTACATGATTGTAAATTGTAAACTTAACCGTGGTTAAAGCTGAATGTTGAAATGAAAATACATGATTGTATAAATAAATATGGCAGAAGTGAGGCAAAGAGAAACTTCATGCTCGTCTGTCTCATTCTTTCCCTGTGTTTTACAAGAAACATTTAATCTGCCCAACAGGCCCAGAAATTATATTGAATATTTAAAGAGGTAAATAAAGGCAAAATAATAACAAAAGGACACTTAAGTGATGAGATTACAACAGAAGCCTGACCTCTCCCCAACACTGGATTTACAAAGGGAAACTGCAGCAGTCACACCCCGAATTTATACCAAGGGAAAGGCAAGGGTCACAGTGCATCTTCCTTTTTAAATGAAACCTTGTTTTTGAGTTTATTAACTCCAGTGGAGTCTCCTGTTTTGTGTTTGCCTCTTGTATACTTGTTTTGTTCTGTTACCTCTACAGTCCTGTATTTGTTCAAGACACCAGAAGACCAGAACACAGAGCGTTCCAAGTGAGATTTTCATCTTTACCAAATCTGTAAAACAGAAGCACAATGACACTGCTGCCTCCAACAGGGAGCTCCTTCAGTTACCCTCCTGTAGGATCCTCTAGTCTGATACACTTATCCAGTGGAAATGATCACGCATGAGCTGGAGATCATTGAATCTACTTTGATTTTGAAAACAATATTTAAATTGGGTCATATCACATAATATACAAATTAATTCAATAATAATACACCTCATTTTCAAGTTTAAAATAACACTGGCATCATTTTCTTTGCACAGTGAGACTCGAAGGTCTGGGAACCTCTTCACTAATCTCACTTGCCAATTTGCAACAATTTCTACAAATAACCATAATAAATAATACATGCATGCTAAATATTTTAACAAACAAACATACTTGTTTCAGTATATTTAGCTTTAGTTTAGTACATTTCTAGAAGCACTTACCTTTACACACTTTCATTCTTCATGAAATCACAAGTTAAACTCCACCAGCAAACATGTACTTTCTCTTTTTGTTCACTTCACTCGAGCCCAAACTGAACTCGAACTGAACACTGAACTGACATTTGATATCAGAGTAACAGGATAAAAATAAACCTGTATTACACACTTGCACAGACACACATAGTCCAACATCGGCCACACAAACACACACACACACACACACACACACACACGTCCACTCACACCCAGGCATATCCAGGAGAGAGGTGCTTACCTGTACCTAACGCAAAACTAACTCTACCAGAAGATGTGACACTGAACATAAAAGCAAGAAACACACACACAAAAAATAAATAAATCTATGAAAAGAGGAAAAAAGAAAAATAATGATAATATTAACTACAACAGCCAGAATAACATAAATTATTAAAAATATGAATATTATTAGTATTAATATTATGACATCCCCACCACCTTCACATCTGAAAGTTTATAAAGTCCAACAGAGGATTGAAAAAATTTGTATCTAGTTATTTGTGTATCTAGTTTTGTTGAGATTTTGTTCTCTTTTACTTGAGTTGTATTCTTTTTAAGTAAATCATCTTAATCTTTTCTGAAACTGAAAATGAACTGTGCTTTGAATATAAGCAGGAAAGTTTTGTGCTTTTTGTTTTATTTATGAATTAAGAAACTACGTATTCTTCATATTTCTGCCTATTCCCGGTAATAACAGCATTTGTGCATTATTTCATCTTAAAAACTGTAATGATTCATTTTATGACCCTTTGTGCGTCATACTTTGACCTCAAATTGACATCACTTCAGTGACATCTACATTCAGTCTTTTCCAAATCAAGAAAAAACACTTCATACTCTCAACTCAATATTCCAACCTCCCCCTGTGTACTGTGCCCTCCCCCTGTGTACTGTGCCCTCCCCCTGTGTACTGTGCCCTCCCCCTGTGTACTGTGCCCTCTCCTGTGTACTGTGCCCTCCCCCTGTGTACTGTGCCCTCTCTTCTGTGTACTGTGCCCTCTCTCCTGTGTACTGTGCCCTCTCTCCTGTGTACTGTGCCCTCTCTCTGTGTACTGTGCCCTCTCTCCTGTGTACTGTGCCCTCTCTCCTGTGTACTGTGCCCTCCCCCTGTGTACTGTGCCCTCTCTCCTGTCAGCACACGGGACAGTTCGAGGAGTAGAGGACACACTCCGGACACAGATCCATGAGCAGGGGACACACTCAGGACCAGTGGTGAACCGTGGACCTGGACCCTGGGCCTTCACTAGGACCAATTGCTGACTATAATGACATCATGACATCATGATAGCAGTGAGCTCTGAGCCTTGGCTCTGCGCTCCGCCCTGGCCACAGGCTCTGAGCTCCGGCCCAGCTGTGGCTCCGAGGCTCGCTCCAAGCTCCGGTTCTCAGGTCGTTCTTTTTTTCCTTCTTTCTGACATTCCCGAGGTGTCCAAATAGAGGCGCCCAGTGTGTGTTTTGACACTGTGGTCTCACTTATATTTGCTATCACAGGGTATTCACGAAGGCCCGGAAGATGTCGTGACATGATCCCGCCCATAACACAATGAAATATGATTGGCTAAGACAACTGTCAATCTCAAACTCATCCCCCACGTTGACTTGTATTACACGGGCCTTCGCTACAGGAAGTCGAAGGTCCTGTAGGTGTTTGTTCAGTTCAGTGCTGTGGGGGAGTCACTGATTTACCCAGATACCACTGGAAGAAAAAATGTGATTGGTCCATTTCCATTCCATTATATTAGCCCTTTGTTTCCCAAGAAATATCAGTCCAAGTTTATAACAATGATCTAGAAATTATTACTAGTGTCGTGTTTATTACTCACTGAATAAAAAATATTGAAAAAAATATATTAGTATTACAAAAATCTTTCAGTATTTTTTCTTGGGCCTTCACTGAACACCTTGAAGGCTCTGAGGATTCCCCTCTGCTCAGGACACGGGACAGTTCCAGTTACTCTGCTGTAGCTGTGGGTAGGTTCATGAATGTTGGAGTTGATGTTAGTTATTTTTTGCACCTTTCTGAAAGTGAGGTGTTATGAGAATCTTTACATAATCATCTTTAATGACTTGTATAAGCATTTATGTGAACGTGTAAGTGACTTAATCATTGTTAAATCAGACTTTATCCTGTAGTCAGGGGCCTCACAGGAGCCTCTCACTTCCAGGCTCCAGACTCATATAGTTGTGTCTGAGAAACAACAAGCTTTTCACATGTTGTTTCAAATTGTTATGGAATTTCTAGGATAAAGAATAAACTGAGAAGTTGTCTTAAATCAAAGAGTCTATTATTATTAAAGCAATTGTGCACAATCACAGAGCTGCCTGTCCCTGATAGAAGTGTCTCTCCCTGTCTTATTGTCAAAACAAGCATATAAGATTTTATACCCTTCAGGGGGCCACAGGGCACATGTAAAAAGACATAACACCATCTTATGAGGACGATCAACACAAAGCTGGGTCATTGTGGCAATGAAACAACATGTGAAAAACAAGTGAATAACAAGTGATCTCAGACACAACTATATGAGTCTGGAGCCTGAAAGTGAGAGGCTCCTGTGAGGCCCCTGGCTACAGGATAAAGTCTGATTTAACAATGATTAAGTCACTTAAACGTTCACATAAATGCTTACACAAGACATGAAAGATGATTATGTAAAGATTCTCATAAGAGAGGTTAACAGTTCAAATAAAAAGACTAAAAGAAAATAAAAATCTCGATCTTTCAGAAAAAACTAAGATGTTTGAGAACCAACAGAACACAGACCACAGATGAACAAAGTCAGTACCAACTAAAATGATTTTAACAGAATTATATTTTTTCAACATGTACTTCAAGTTAAACAGTTGTCATGTTTCTACAGGGTGATGTGGCACTTAGAGACTTTATACCAGATGCCCTCCCTGTTACTGTGTTTAGAGGAAGAAAAGCAGCACATGGTGAGTTTTGTTTCTGCTGTACAGTTCTGATGTTCTTGTTCTTCTGTTCTGGTTTATTATTGTATTAAAGAGTAATAAATGCTTTAAGTGTATTTAAACATGTACAACACAGAGTAGATCATCAGATTGTGATCATCATGTGATATTCCTGTGTCCACAGAGACCAGAGCTTCACTGGAATAAATCTTCACACTGTCGAACTCCAAACTGTGTGTCTCTGTCCCTGTGCTCTCTGTGTGTTTGAATCTGTTTAAGACAAGACAGAACTGTGGAAAACTTTTGTATATTTTACTTTAAAACCATTTTGATGTTGCATGTTAAAACACTTGTGTAAACAGAATTATATTATACATAAAAAAATAAAACCATAAAAAAGAAAAAAAAAATCATAAGGTAACATAAGATAAATATGCATATTCAGCATGATTTCATCAAATTTCATCAACATGAAAAAGTTACATTCATGTTCTGAAAAAAAAATGTGTAGAGAGGAAAGAAGTTTCAAAGTCTAAACATAATTTTATTGCATACAACTGCTTTCCATCTTTTTTTAAAATTTATTTTTTTTTTTTAACGCAAATCCAGTGACTTTTTTTATTTTTCAGTGTGGGGTAGGGAACATCCGCTCACATATCCTGTCCTTCAACTAAAAACAAAACACAAAATATTTTAATTACTTCAATTTGAATTTTCTTGAGGTGAGTACAAAGTGAACAGTTGTGAATCTACCGTATTTGTGTCGTCATAGAGAGAAACAAAGGCTATTTTGCCAGTGTTCCATCGAGTCTGGTTCTCCCATTCCTTCTCAAAGCGAAAACTTGGATCTGATGGACAATGACCTTGAGCAAAAATCTGAAGAGCGATTTGGAAATAGAATAAGAATTACCCTCATTTATGACATTATTATAAACATGTATAATCTTTATATCTTGAAAGATTAAAAATCTCAATGGGCTTGGTGATTAGAAACAAGTCAAATAATGTACATTATGTGAATCTTTAAATTAACATTTTCTTTCCATGTTAAATGTAGAAGTTGAAGAACTTACAGTCACAGTGTCGCCTGAGTTCCTCAGGGTTAAAGAATGCTCAAATGTGTAGATGAGAGCTTTATCATTGTCCACCTCAATATGGAGGCCTCCACTTTCTAAGGTTTACACACTGAAATGTAGCAACAAAGAGTTCCATTATTATTTTAAATATAGAGGATTATTGTAGAGGTGGGACCAAGTCTCTGATTTTCAAGTCTCAAACCCAAGTCATATACTTTGAACTTCAAGTCCTTTTAAGTTTTTAATGTCAAATGATCAAACACAGCTTGTATTTTTAACTGAAACAAATCTTGAGACGTCCAGGGAATAATATATTTTCACCAAGTCAATAAAAACTACTGGACTTTTGCAGCTGATAGAGTACAGTGTCTTGTGAACTCTTAAGTCAAAGGGCTCCAAGTCGTGTCCCGAGTCCCTTTAAATCCTTTAAATTAAAGGTGCATTGTGTAACTTTTCTGGTGGAGGGTCCATCAAATGCTTTTCTCCATGGAGATGTTATTAGAACATTCCAGACAAAAAACAAACTAAAATGTGATGTGACTCTGACTCAGGTCCACACTTCTGTATTGTAGCAGTCAATGTTATTGTTATACTAACCTCTTGTGTTTTCAGACGGACATATGTGCCGTACTGGTGAAAACTGTCTATGATTACAGGAGATGATGTTCTCGTTGACTGGATCTCTTGCTGCAGCTTAATTTCTTTGACCTGAAAATGAAAGAAAGAAAAAGATCTCAATGTGTGGATCTTGTGTGTGTGGAGTTAAATGTAGTTAAAGGACAATAAATGTTTGTAGAACAGTAGACGATGCCCAACAGCACAACAAAATAATATTACCTCATGGAGAAGTTTCTGTTTAGTTACACAAAAGAGAATCTGTGGTATTATGGCAACTCCAGCAACAAACAAACAATCCAATCATTAAACCAATGAAAAATGGAGAAATCGTCACTAGAATATCATCATGTGAAAAGTGTGAAGGCTTTCTTAGTGTTCAGAATACACTACTCTGATTGGACCAGGAAACAAACACTACAAACTACTTTCTAATGTAAGTATGCAGTATTTTATAACTAACTACACCAGGAGTGTCAAACATGTGGCCCAGGGGCCGAATCCGGCCCTCCAAGACATTTAATCTGGCCCTCTTGCCTCTTTCCAAACTTGCCTCTTTTAAAGGACGATGGTTTTGACTGTTGACTGTCACATAAAGAAACTGACAGTGATCTACACAGTGAGTTTATACTTTACTCATACTACTTTACAAAAATCAACATTGAGATTCCGAATGTAACCGGGTGTTTAGACTGTTCTGACTCTAGTGCGTCCGTGAAGGCGTCCACCTGTGCGTCGCTGTGCGTGGCTCCCGGCGTCACTGATTAGAAAAGGCTGTGCACGCCGTAGTGTGGCCGTCGGGGCTTTTGGTGGCTTGTGAACACGGTGCGTGTAAGTACCGGACTTGTTCTCTTTCAACGTTTCTTCTAGAATTTGCTTTAATGCATGTGTCTGACTACATTTTAAAGGTTGTCTGGAGTAGGCGGTGGTGCCGGCGGCCGCTCATAACGCGCTCTGAGCCCCATGTAGAGTGCCTCCCCTCCCCTTTCTAAACTTGCAGTAAATGCTCTTTTGTTGTATATCTGGTCTACCTGAACCTTATTTTTCCCTGTGGAACAGATTGCCACTGCTGCATTATTCTTGCTCTTTATTCTTTATCCTTTTATTGTTAGTGTTGGTTTTAATTGAATGTTGTGGAACAGTAGCTGAGGTCTTGGAGGGAAGTGCAATATTTGGTCAGGGGGTCAGTGCATTGTGAGGTCAGGTCTCAGGGTTAGCACAAGTCACTTTAGCCCAAATGGGCCTCCTTAGCATGAGCACTTTCACCAGCTTGAACTTTATGCCCTTTATCGTAACGAAATCTACCTCAAATACCTTGGCACACGCACACTTTAAGTATCCAAGTTTACAGAGAACTAGCACTTTAACTTCTTGTAAATGTAGTCTTTAACTCATGTTTGGTTTTTTTTTTTTTTTTTTGTATTAATGCTTGGTTTGTGATTACTAATTTGATTTGTTGTGTTTTAATTAGGGTTGGGTTAAATCCTACATTTATGACGGTTGAATGGTGTGTAATTGTATCAAGAAGGGAACAAGAAAATGAAATAGTTTTTAAATGTTTAGAAGATTAAAGATTTGTAACTTTTATACCACACTGCTCTTGTCCTTTTTTATGCCAGAACAGATTCTGTCAGTAATAAGGGTGCTCGGTCGCAACATTACACATAGAAATGTGAATTTATAATGTTCATTCCACTTGTTGTGTTGCCTTGAGTGGGTGAGTACTCACCAGTTTAGTCTTTAAGGTTTTAATCTCCTCTTCAGCAGATGTGATGTATATGTTCAATTCTTCCTGTAAAAACACAGTGATGAAATAGTGCCACTGTTATGTAAAAGCATTGTGTGAAACCCAGTGCCTTTATTTGTATAAAACACAGACAAAACAGTAGCCTACAACCATCTTTAAAGATACACTATGTAACTTTTCTTGTGGAGGGAAGAACTGTCGTCTGTTTATCTTCACAGAATGTTATTGCATTGTCTGGAATGTTCCACAGGAGGCATTAACTATATATATCCACAACACCAAAGTTGGAGAATGTGTGTGTGTGTGAGATTTTACGTTACCTGTTCAAATCAAATATTTTACTCTACAGTTTATTGTGTAACTTTTCTGGTGGAGGATACATCAAATCCTTCCAAACCAGACCAAGTTACAGTTCATATCTGTGGAGAGGCAACTCTGCTCACAGCCAGAATGTCTGTTTTTAGAAAACCACTTGTAATTGAATAATTTACTGGGTGGTGAGGAAGAGAAAAGAATATTGTAAGAGTCATTTGTCTGTAAATTGTAATTGTTGCATTGTGCTCATGTACATTTAAAGTTAATCAGCAGTGAACATAAAGTCTCCGTCTCATTTATTTATTTCAGAGCCGATCTTTCCCCACACAAATATTTGAAACTGTTCTGAGTGGTTGTTCCAGCCCAAAACCTGCTACACAATATAACATAAAGAAACTGACAGTGATCTACACAGTGAGTTTATACTTTACTCATACTACTTTACAAAAATCAACATTCATATTTAGATTTCATAGAAATGTGAGTTTATAATATTCACTCCACTTGTTGTGTTGCCTTGAGTGGGCGAGTACTCACCAGTTTAGTCTTTAAGATTTTATTCTCCTCTTCAGCAGATGTGATGTATGTGTTCAATTCTTCCTGTAAAAACACAGTGATGAAATAGTGCCACTGTTATGTAAAAGCATTGTGTGAAACCCAGTGCCTTTATTTGTATAAAACACAGACAAAACAGTAGCCTACAACCATCTTTAAAGATACACTATGTAACTTTTCTTGTGAAGGGAAGAACTGTCATCTGTTTATTTTCACAGAATGTTATTGCATTGTCTGGAATGTTTCACAGTATGGCATTAAACCTTCACGGAGACCAAACCATACAAAGTTACAGGCCAGATCTGTGGAGAGGCAACCCGCTCCGTCAGAATATTGTGTTTCTTGGTGTTTTTGAACTAGAAAATCACCTGTAATTGAATAAATGTGAAGTAGTAATGTGACATTATGGAACAAGCAAAGCATTGACATTCATAGAAACAAGCAGGTGACGAACCCCCCAACCGAAAAGTTACACCGTACACCTTTAACTGTGTGCATTGACCACAGATGCATTTGAACCCCGTTAGTGGGTCTAATTAAGGTGCTATTGATACTTTGCAGCTCGTGTCATCAAAATTCCCTGCGGGTGTGACACTGACTGAAAGCACTTTTCTTGAGTTTTTGTACAATCCTTAAAACATTTTTAATCCATGTGCCCATTGGATCACCATGGTAAGTGCTAAATATGCCCAAAGAGATGTAGAACACACACATGGTGGCACGGCGGCTGAGCTAGCACTCATGCCTCACAGCAAGAAGGTTTTGGGTTCGATCCCTGGGTTGCCCGGGCCTTTCTGTGTGGAGTTCGCACGTTTCTCCCCGTGTCTGGATGAGTTTCCTTTCCCCCATCAACCCAAAACATGCTACAGGTCTCCATAAACAGTTGATAGTCAAAGGTCAGTTAAAAACCACTTAACATCCACCCGCCCGCCGGCGGGCGATTTTCCAATAAAAAATGTTCTCTCTGTATATTCACCTTCATTATTGTTTTCACTACTGGCATGCCATACATCGTTTGAAAGCTTAATTTATCAATAAAACAACCATATCATTCATTTTATGCCGTACAATGAGCCCAAAACGCGATAACTTAAAAATTCACATCATAATCAAAGAATAAGATTACGCGTTTCTTAACCTTTGAGCCGGTTCTGTCGGTCCAAAACGCATTCAATCCATGAAAGGTTGTACTCAATAAGTCCGTAATAATCCACAGAAAAAGAATATCAAGTTGTTTTTTCCATAAAATAATTCCATGTGGGTAAATAATCCAGAAAATCCTCGTCCGTATGAGTGGATGAATGCGTGAATGAAAATATATATGTTGCCTTTCCGAGCCTTCTCCCTCTCTGAGTTCCGTTTCTCTTGCCGCTCTTGGGTACGCTTGTTTTCCTCACACTCTTAGCTTCAAAATGAGACCCTCCCCGCTGTTGTCGGTGGCGGGGTTTAGGTGGGATAAGACGCTGAAGAAGCTAACGCACTCACGTACTTCCTGGCTTTACGCACGCGTCATCAGTTTGTTTACGGGAAATCTCTTCAGTCATTGGATCTTCCAGAAAGTGACTGACATATTGTTTTAGCCAATCACCAGCGCTTTCAAACGGTGGGTGGGACATGCAGTAGTCTTTGAAAAGGACCCTGTGTTTATAAGCGTAACAGAGAGGGACACAAGAGAGCAGTGCGGGAGGGGCCACGGAGCGCAGATGTGGCACTTGGAGGACAATTTTGGATACTTTTAGTTTTTTTTCTTGAGAAAACATGCCTAAAGCTCAGAAGAATTAGTATTATAATAACAATTATTATTATTATATTATTATTATTATTTTAGCACAAATTTGGCAATCTTGTGCCGAATTGTCATTTTGTATGCACAAAGGCTCACAGCATCAAAACCCTTTGTCCTAGAGATCTGAAATTCTACACAGTTGTTGCCAACAACTTGAACAATGAGTGTAGTGAGTCACAAATGCCTAGCATGAAGTATGACTAAGCTAAGGCCTTTATTTTTTTCAATTGTTTTTTCGAAGCAAAAAAATACAATTTTTAATTGACTGTACTGTAGGTTAGGCAGCACTCACAGTCTTCATGTACATATCTACAGAAACTAGAAGGCCTAAGCTTTAAAATGGTGCCTCACACAAGCATGTGGGTTCTAAGGTTTTCTTTTAATAAGCTATGGCACTTGGGTATGTAGTGCTATTGTGCACACACCAAAATTAGGTGGATGGTAACAGGTTAAATACAATCAATTCAATCATTGTGTGTCTTTAGGAAAGACACTTCACCACATTGCCTAGTATGAAAGTGGTGTGTGCGTGAGGGACTGATGGCGCCGAGTCGCATGGCAGCTGTGCTTCTGTCAGTGTGCCCCAGGGCAGCTGTGGCTACAATAGCAGCTTACCATCACCAGGGTATAGAATGAATGAATAATACTGAATAATGCAGAAAATGTCTGTGAAAAGTGCTATATAAATAAAGACTTACTTAACACCCCCAGCATGATGTTACTGCAAAGTATCAATAAAAATAAAGGCTGTGGCTGTAGTACTTTTTCAAACTACTAATTGTATCATGACTACCTTTGAAGGCGTCTCTTCATCCATGTCATTACAGGTAGGTTCTTCCAGCTTGGGTTCATCAGTTTCTGTAAAAATAAATACTTTCACTTCATGAATGTTTGTAGAATGATCTTAACAAAATAATATTAACTTACGGGTTTTCTGTTTAGTTGCACGAAGGAGAAACAACAACAAAATGATGGCAGCTCCAGCAAAAACAACCAATCCAACAGTTAAGACGATGAAAACTGGAAAAATCTTCACTCCATTAAAATAATCTGAAATAATGAAAAGAGACATTTTTATTGTAAAGATTAAGACAATGTTCCATCTTAGAGGAGCTCTACCAGCTTGTCTCCATGAAAATGTTATTGCTTTGTCTAGAATGTTCCACAGTTTGGATTAAACCTATCTATTACGAGGGAGACGAGCAGGTTACAGCACTACACTACATTACAAGTGAGATCTGTGGAGAGACGCCCCTATTCACAGAAGGAATTGTTGTTTCTGAGCAAAAGAAACACCTGTAACAAATAAATGCTAGACGGATAATGTCATAGCATGGAACATTCCTGGGAAAGCAATAACATGTCCATGGAGACAAGTTGTCCAGTGTAACTTTGATTGTTTGAGCTGAGGCTAAACAAAAGCAGTGAATGAAGACAGAAGTCACACTAACTGACAAGGAACAAGCTTTATTTCTAGTCTGGCTTCTGTCTCCTAGCGCCACCTAGTGCCTCTGCTCGATTTCATCTCTCTCCAGTGACTAGGTCAGGAATCAGAATACTGTATTTTCCGGGCTATTAGGCACACTCTTAAGCCTCTAACCTCATCATAAAACAACTACGTGCCCCACAATCCAGAGCGCCCTATACACGAATCCACTCAGGTGTCCCAGCATGACTTCAGTAAACTACAAAGCCGCACCACCCGCAGAACATGCAAACATGCACGGAGCAGACAACGACCGCACAGTGAAAAACACCCACAGACACACTCATCACTCCACACCGACGAGGAACGGAACGGAACAACAAACCGAAAAAGTGAGTGCAATGTGCCACCTCTAGACACAAGTGAACAACTGAGTCACTGCGAACACACCGACAATCCGTTGGTCCCAGACAGCACCCTCCCTACACGCCACAACTGAACAAAGCCCAGAGTCACCGTGAACGCCACAAACAAACAAAACCATTCACCCATCCAACTGTTGTGTTTCCTTTAAAGTCCAGTGCGGTTTATTTGTGAAGAAAGTTCGAAAATAGACCATTTAATGACTTATAATCCTTATAATCCAGAGCGCCGTATAGTGTGGAAAATACGGTACACTAGACGTTTGCAAGAACCCGGGAAGTTGTAGACTGCACACAATCAGCGAAGAGCTGTGAAGCCATGACGTCAAACTCGTTGCGCCTGTCTGGGTCCCTTTTGTGCTACAGCACAGTAAACAAACAGTAAACAAAGCGTCGAGATGGATGTAGACGAAGTCATACATTCTGTGTTGGCAACGATTCTTGAGATCGAGGATTTAAAGCCGGAACAAAGAGAATGTTTGGTGAATTTTATCAAGGGGAAAGACGTTATTGTCCTTCTTCCTACAGGATTTGGTGCATTACAAACGTCATGACCAAATAGCAGCGATTGGTTAAAATTAAAAAGTACCCGTCTACCATTGAGCAAAGGAATTGTCAGCTTCTCCTGGAGGCAGCCTGAACAGAGGATCTTAAGAAAGAGGCTTGGAGAGTTAGAACAGTTCTCAGACATGTCTCTTTATTAGTTCAGGCAGATTCAGGTCTCAAGATTCAAGTTGATTCAGCATGATTTGCCTACGCGGCGTCTCTGTGCGTCGGTCGTCCCTCGACAACGCAGTCGACGTTCCCCCAACTGATGCACAGAAAAACTGGGTGCCTTTTATACCAGCATAACTGTTGAGTTAACATCTTCATGGAAACATACACAGCAGTTTTGTCCCAACACGTGTCCCATAACAGACTGGCAGATGCTAAAGGTTGGAGACACATCCCTTATCTGTCCCATATACATTCACAGTCCATATGACATCATATCCCAACCCCATTGACACTCCAAAGTCCAGAAACATACACAACATGTTATTGTACACAGGGATTCATTACAGGGTGAATTAACATATGAATGAAACTTTAAAAACACAGGGAAGAAGACCACAGAATCCTAATGCTGTGAGGTCAGACGGTTTCTACGAAGTGAAACAGGTTGATGCATGAAGCTAACCGTCCAATCCACAGCACTGAAACTGCCCTTCTCAAAATCACTAACGACATTTTCCTCTCTGCTGACTCTGGTTCATTATCCAATATCCATCCTCCTCCTGCCTTCGACACTCTATTGTTGACCGACTCTCTACTTTTGGCTTCACTGGCACAATCCTCTCCTGGTTTCACTCCTATCTTTCCAACTGTACCCCAACTGTACCTGGTTTTCCCCAAGGTTCTGTTCTCGGTCTTCTGCTGTTCATCCTCTACCTCCTCCCCCTCGGTCACATTTTCCAGAAACACCACATTCACTTCCACTGCCACGCAGATGACGCCCAGCTCTACCTCTCCATCAAACCAAACTCCACACTCCCACCCTCCTCCCTTATCAACTGTCTGGAAGAAGTTAAATCCTGGATCACCTCAAACTTCCTCAAACTCAACAGCAATAAAACCAAACTTCTCCTTGTAGGCACCAAATCCACCCTAAACAAGATCAAGGTAAAAAGTCTGGATAAAGTACTCGATAGCACTCTCTCCTTCAGCTTTCATATCACCAATATCACTTGCTCTGCCTACTTTCACCTCCACGCTGCACTGCTGTCCTTGTTCACAGCCTTATTACCTCTCATCTGGATTACTGCAATCCCCTTCTGTTTGGTCTTCCACAAAAATACTCCTTAAATTTCAACTGGTCCAAAACTCAGCTGCCCGCATCATCGCAAGTACTCCCTCCATCAACCACATCACGGCGGCACGGTGGCTGAGTGGCCAGCACTCATGCCTCACAGCAAGAATGTTCTGGGTTCGATCCCCGGGTCGCCTGGGCCTTTCTGTGTGGAGTTTGAATGTTTCTCCCCGTGTCTGGATGGGTTTCCTCCAGGTGCTCCGGTTTCCCCCATCAACACAAAACATGCTCCAGGTCTCAATAAACAGTTGATACTTAAAGGTCAGTTAAATACAATCAATTCAATCATTGTGTCCTTAGGCAAGACACTTCACCCACATTGTGGTGTGTGAGTGATGGTGGTGGTCGGAGGGACCGATGGCGCTGAGTGGCATGGCAGCCATGCTTCTGTCAGTGTGCCCCAGGGCAGCTGTGGCTACAACAGTAGCTTACCATCACCAGGGTATAGAGTGAATGAATAATGCTGTATGAAGCATCTTTGGGGAAAGAAAATGTCTGTGAAAGCGCTATATAAATAAAGACTTACTTACTTACATCACACCTGTCCTACAACAGCTCCACTGGCTCTCCATCTCACACTGTGTTCAATACACGATCCTGCTCCTCCATAACCTGCCACCTCCATATCTCTCAGAGCTCCTCCACATTGCCTGTTCTGCTCCTCAGCTCTGGAACACTCTCCCTCCTGACCTCTGCCAAACTGACTCACACCCACATTTCAAATCTAAACACACCTGTTCAAACTGGCCACCAGACCATAGCTCCACTGTCTGTCCTCAGGTTGCCTCATCCATTCTTTGTGGTGTTTGAGTTCTCTGGGCACTACGATTTCCCCCATCAACCCAAAACATGCTACATATCTCTCCAAGAAGTATAGTTGATAGCTAATGGAGGTCAATTAAATTAAATACAATCAATCAATGAGCAACCTCGGAACAGTCGAACCTCGGATTCAGGAGGAGCAGTGTGGTTTTCGTCCTGGCCGTGGAACACTGGATCAGTTCTACACTCTCCATCGGGTGCTCGAAGGCTCATGGGAGTTTGCCCAATCAGTCCACATGTGCTTTGTGGATCTGGAGAAGGCCTTCGACCGTGTCCCTCGTGGTGTCCTGTGGGGGGTGCTCTGGGAGTATGGGGTCCGGGATAGGGAGATAGGGTGAGGAGCTCAGTCACACGGGAGGAGCTCGGAGTAGAGCCGCTGCTCCTCCACGTCGAGAGGAGCCAGTTGAGGTGGCTCGGGCATCTGTTCTGGATGCCTCCTGGGCATCTCCCTCGGGAGGTGTTCCGGGCATGTCCCACCGGGAGGAGACCGCGGGGAAAACCCAGGACATGCTGGAGGGACTATGTCTCTCGGCTGGCCTGGGAACACCTCGGGGCCCCCCCGGAGAAGCTGGAGGACCTGTCTGGGGTGAAGAAAGTCTGGGAGTCCCTGCTTAGACTGCTGCCCCTGCGACCCGACCCCGGATAAGCAGAAGAAAATGGATGGATGGACAATCAATCAATTAAAATACTGTCCCACTTCAACTGTATATTTTAATTTTAGTATTTAACTTGTTTATCTTGTTGTAAGGTGACCCTGAGTGTCCAGAAAGGTGCCTAATAAAGTGAAGGAAGTCTGGGAGTCCCTGCTTAGGCTGCTGCCCCCGCGACCCGGCCCCGGATAAGCGGACGAAAATGGATGGATGGATGGATTATTATTATTATTTAAAAAATAAATGCCAAATATAGTTTAGAGGCTCTAAAATTACTAATTTTGTTTGCATCCCATAAAAGACTTTTGTGTCCATGTCAACAGAGACGAGCTCCTCATCCTTTCTATTCAAATTCAGGTTTTGGAACCAGACCACTGAACATGTCCAATTTTGGGAGAGCATGCTCATTTTTATCTCCACTCACATATTTTTGTATTATTCAGAATAAAATATAAACTTTTACCTCAGAAGAGTTTAGTGCTTTGATCGTTCAGACATCTGCACTATTTCTCAGCTCTCTATTATTCTCTTTTACTCTTAAGCCGCCATGTTTGTTTTGACACGACTGGACCATGTCTTTCTCTGATTGGTTAACCCATCTGTCAATCACTCCAACAGGAAATACACATGATATTGTTCCAGACCATGTCTTTGTAAAGTATTGCTGAAGCATGTGGTTTTGACTGACCAGGCAAGCAGGGGTATTCAAATAACTTTCTTGTACTTGTAGTTTTCAGAGACTTTAACATGTACGTAGGTGCTGTACCTGATTTTTATTGTCTTCAAAATGTGAAAACACAAAAATATTTAAACTGAGTTCCAAAGTGATTCCTCTATTATACCTCATGCATTCATAGCTTCCTAATATCCACTGCAAAGAGTTAATAAGAGCTCATAACTTTCAGACTCCAGAGCAGTGTTTTGCCGTCACAGTAATACTAGCATGCTCATAGTGAACTTCCTCATTCTCATGCACTCAGATTTCAGACTGAGATTTCTACCTTACCCTTGGCTCAGACAGTTCCGTATAAATTCCAAGTACTAGTAGAGGACTGTGTGTACTGTTAAAGGTTGTACAGAGGATTTTCCAAGGAAAGAGAAATACAGTGACTCCTCAGCTCCCTAAGTAGAAACGTCTCCTCCCACCTCCTCCTTACACTAGAAATCACGCTTGTTTACAGCCGGTGCACGTTCAGAATTGCCATTGAAGTTTCCTGTCCAGAAGTAATTTATCGACCGATGCGTCATTCTTTAGAGCCTTCGTCTGTTTCAGTCACGCTATCACTGGAAGAAATCTCCAAGAATCACCTTAGTTTGGCTTCGCTCCTTTTCCCCTTCTTTTCTTCTTTCAGCGACCTCAAAAACTGACTTTCTTTCACGGCGGACTGGTCGTGGACTCTTGTCTGCCACCACAACAAACTTTGTACTAACTGCGAGGGAGCTACAGTTCGAAAAATCCGCTAAGAACCGCTGCGTTGTTCGAGTAAACGGTGTTTTGTGTATGTGGAATGCGTGAGAAGCGAATGTAAACCACGTAATCCCAGCATACCGGTGCCAGATACGCTAGAAACGTAGGGAGTTTGATTGGCAACCTAACAACCAACAGATAATGAAGTAGCCTCTTTATCTATTGGCTGATGTTTATATGGCCCCATCATGTCCACAGATGATGGATTTTCATTCTTTCTTTTTTTTTTTTGATCATCATAATTATAAGGCTGCTACGTCTTTATAATGCTATCTTGAACTTTCATTTGACAATTTGAAACAAAAAAAAAATCCTCCATACAACCTTTAAGTTAGTGTGTAATATGGTCTTACCTTCCACCTGCACACTGTTCTTCTCTGAGAGGTTGGTGGAGCTCTGGTTCACGGTGCAGCTGAAGGTGCCGCTCTGCTCCACACTCATTCTGCTGCTGACCTCATAGAGTCCATCAGACACAGACACAGAGTGCTCCACAGACAGCAGCGCTCCCTCAGAGTCCAGCCACCACAGCTCAGGCTCCGGAAACCAGCCCCCAGAGGCACACTGCAGGACCACACCCGAACCCCACACATCCACCGACGCTACAGACACCACCACTGGAGACGACGAGGCTGGAGCAACACCATGTCATGGCACAACAAGGCCCAAAGGTTATTTCCTTGGGTTTAGCTCAGTTTGTAACATCATAGCATGGGATTTGAATCAAGTAAGAAGTGCAGCATGTGCACATCAAGAGACTCAAGTAAAGGACTGTTGGATTATGTGTGGCCAAACCTCCTTGTCAAAGCCTGAGCTAACCAAGGCCGGACCTGGTTAGGACTTGGATGGGAGACCGCTGGGAATACCAGGTGTCACAATGGGACACCAGTCACAAAAACTGTCGTTGTGTTCTTTGGCAAGGCACTTCACCCACATTGCCTAGTATGAAAGTGGAGTGTGCGTGAGTGTTGGTGATGGTTGCCCATATGGAAAAAATATAAACATTTACCACTGTCTTAGTAGTAAATCTTTATATAAGGTTAATATGGCTACGTTCAGACTGCAGGGCTTAACGCTCAATTCAGATTTTTTTGTGAAATCCGATGTTTTTGCGAGGTCGTTCACATTTCCAATTAAATGTGACTTGTATGTGATCCCCTGTGTGAACATTAAACAGCCCGAAAGTGTCCCGCATGCTCACTGGAGACACGACGACGTCAACCGCAGCGAGCGTGCTCTGTGTTTATGGAAGTTGTTCAAACATGGACGCAGCATTGAGCACCTGGAGATTTTAAAGTTCCTCTCGTACCGGAGCCAGAACATGAACAACTCACTTGTTTTAAGGAGGAGATTGAGAAGGAAAAGGACGAGGTTTTTGGCCGTGGTGTTTTGTGGGACAGCGGCAGCGACGTCCGTTGAAAGGAACGTGTGGATGTGGAGACGGAGCCAAGAGTGGTGAGTGGTGATGTGCTTCGCTTCAGTGACATGGAGTTCATTAACAATTTTCGCCTACTTCAGTGCAGAATAGTGATGTTTGTGGCTTGTTGATAACGTGTAGGTGAATGAATGCACTTTGGCCGTTTACAGTGAAGTCACATGTCAAAAGATCAGTTATGTATCAGTTTCAGGAGCACATATCCAAGTGGCCTGAGTCACATTTGAAAAAATCGGATCTGTGTCGTTCAGACTGTCATTAAAAGATCAGATACAGGTCACATAGAAGCCAAAAAATCAGATTTGGGTCACTTCAGGCTGCAGTCTGAACACATCTTATGTGTCGTGTGTGGTTTACTCCTGAAAGTCGCCCCTTTTGCATTTTTCTCATACAACTATATTATAAAAAACTAGCATAGATAAAGTGAACATTTTGCATGACATTTACAGGTAATGTGCACGACAAACTACATTTTCTTTATATGTTCCATGTAATGTTTGTATTCTTTAATTATATGTTGCAGTAAAAAAAATTTAAACAAAATCTGAGTCAGAAGTGGGATTTAAACCCAGGTCGCCCATGTGAAAGTCCAGTTGAGGTAACCAGCTACTACTTGTAGGTGGAACAATAGCAGATGTTTAGGACAGTTACAAGTACTCTGGTATCCCACAAGTAAATGGCAACTTCACAGAGGCAACAAGGAAAGGGGCTACAGGATTTTGCAGAGTAAAAATCTTTTCAGAGTCTGATGTGTGTTCAGCGTGACATCAGTGGAAGAGTGTGTGTCTTATGTCTTTTTTTAAGGTTGTAATGCAATATTTACATTACTGTGTTTACCATCATGCTGCCCAACACACACACACACACACACACACACACACACACACACACACACACAGAGACACACACACTGTGATAATTTTCTTTCTCACTCTCACACACACACAACATAGCAATTGAATTTAAGGAAACAATCATCATTTAACTTGTTTTTCTGTGATTCTGTGGTAAAAATGACCTTTGTCCAACACTTGTGAGGACATTGTGTGTAGGGTTAGTGTCATCTTCAGCTCTTGCAGGTTACAAAGTTTTATATGTTTCATGCTGCACATATTTACCAAAGATCTTGTTTTTCACTGTCATATACAAATCTTGTAGGATTGAGATAAAACATGTTAAAATGGTGTATGATTTGTCTATACCTTTTCCATATAGGTGGAGGGATGGATGGCACAGATTGGCACCTTGCTTCCTCCAGTCTGCCCCATCCTGATGTTTTTATTTTGATATTTTGTGTGCAAATAAATTCCTTTACCTAATATGGACCGCTAGCCTCATGAGTTTCATTTGACTAGAGTTAAACACTGTTGGTGATGTCGCACTTCTTTATAAAATCTAAGATCTATTTATTCACTGTACTATTCATTCACTCCACAATGAATCCCTCAATCACACACCACATTCTGAATAGGCCCAACAACATTTTGTATCCACTGTGTCACCTGGTATTCACAGTGGCCTCCCATCCAAGAACTGACCAGGCCCAACCCTGCTTAACTTCAGAAATTAGACGAGATTGGGCATTGACAAAGGGTAGCATTGCACTTTATGTCACAAACATTATAGCTGTAACTTGAACAATCTTTAGCTCCTAAGATGAATAGTTTGTGGAGTAGAAGTGTTGTTTCTATTCAGATAAGAAAATCAGTTGCTCCTAGAGACAGACGGACTATAGGCGAGCTTTCATTGTTGACAAAAGCCCGCGTTGCATGCTGGGAATTATTTTGGTCGGCGGCAAGAATCACTAATTCAACATGACAGATGGAGTGAGAAAGCACGTAAAGGGTATTGATCCCGGTTATTTATCCACTCTAACGGCAGAGGACCCAAGACCATTTGACCAGAAATTGGTCATAAGCATCGATGGAGCCAAATCACCCTTTTCAACCCCGACAAAAAGTGGACCAAACCAAATTTCTGGTCTGAATCTCCAACTACCTGGACAAATATTCACTTGGGCGATATCCACAATGACTTGGTGGAAACTCCTGGGCCATTCACAGCAGAAAAGATGAAAACCTCCAAGAGTCTCGATGTGTTGTTGAACTTGTTGGAGTCCACGGTTTGTTAGGATCTTCTACGTTTGCTCTGCGAATGTTTGAAAGTCGTTTAATTCACCGTTAGTGGTTCTTTTCTCTCAGAATATGAAAAAGACATTTTCCTTCTTCCGTGCTTCTATTTGTGCATCTGATAATGCAGCAGGAATTTACCATTATCGAGGAGAAATACACGAGGTTACGCACTGTGTGTGACCGCTATCCTGTTTCTTGCCTCCAACCAAAATATTTCAACAATAACGTCAGCTGAAACTCGCCTATTCCATCTACTTTTACACAAGTTTAATATTATTAATATATGTAAAAACTCACCAACAATTAGTCTGATGGAGGTTTCTTTTCTCAGTGCAGGAAAGAAGCACCTGTAAACTCCACTGTCCTTTGCTTTCACATTTGTCAGTTTCAGTGAAATGTTTCCCTTTTTCAACTCGTCTTGGTACAGGAAAGTCCGGTCGTCAAATTGTGGGTTTTTTAGATCTCTCAGTTCCTCAAAGGATCGCCAAACATAAACAAATCTGGGCTGCAGGTCTGGCCGGGTCCACTCGAAAGTTAAAGCTGCAGCATCTCTGGGAGTTTGAAAAAAACATGGCAAAGTGACATCATCACCGACTCTGCTGATTATTGGCTGAGACGAGCCAATCAGAGCCTGTCCTGGAAAACAAAAGAGTACACGGGTTTGCAAGTCAAAATGGATTATTATTATTATAAAATGAGTAAATCATCTCAGCAAGATCGTGGATACTTTATGGTCCACTTGGTTCCCCTGGTTCATGAAGTACATTTCTTATTCATTTTTCCCATAAATATTCCAAAAAACTGGAATGGACTTGAAACAGTCGCATTATGGATAGTGTGTCCCCCAAATGTCTACAGGAAAAATGAATGGGAAATTTACTATTTACTCCATTTTGTCAATATTTCCAAAGTGTTACCATGGTCCCATCCACTCTTCAGACCCACATATTATTTGAATTGTTCATTCTTTGCTGTTACCTCTACAGTTCTGTATTTTCAGAAGATACCAGAGGACCAGAAGCACACCGGGACTTCTGAGTGAGTTTTTCATCTTTAGTAAATCTGTAAAAGAGAAGCACAATGACACTGACATAAACGGTTTGCTCTTTAGGTTGAGGCTGATTCATGATTCATAAAAAGTTCTTGAAGCTGTAAGAACAAGAAAAACGTTATTGAGGTTTGGACATTTGACACTTCATCTGTGGTTCTGCTGCTGCACAAACGGTCATTTAGATCTTAATAGGCTCTCTTCACACTTAACACAACATGTGGATGATGACTTCAGGTGTAGTCGGTGTTGGGAAGGTGACTTTTAAAATGTATTCCCCCTTCAGATTACAGATTACATACCCCAAAATGTAGTTTGTAACGTAATCCATTAAATTACTTAAAGTGAGTAACGTAATCTCAATACTAGATTACTTGATTTGCTGTAGAGAAACAAAGACGAGGATATCGTAACATAAAATGTTTTATCTGTTAAATGAAAATAAAAAGCCCAGACTTTACTTAACCATATTAAAAATATTAATGATAGAAGAGAAGGAGACACATCCACACAGCATGATTTAGTCCTGTTTTAGTCCTGGTGTAGTCCTGGTTTAGATCTAGTTTAGACCTGGTTTTAGTCCTGGTTTAGATCTGGTTTAGATCTAGTTTAGACCTGGTTTTAGTTCTGGTTTAGACCTGGTTTTAGTCCTGGTTTAGACATGGTTTAGATCTAGTTTAGACCTGGTTTTAGTCCTGGTTTAGACCTGGTTTATATCTAGTTTAGTCCTGGTTTAGACCTGGTTTAGTTTCCGGCAATGAGTGGAATTACCAAAAAAAAAAAAAAAAAAGCGGGGGGGGGGGGTGGGGGGGTAAAGCCCAAAATGTGTAAACAGGAAAATACCGCCATGGAATCCTTTTATTTCAACAAAGTAACAGTAACTGTAACTGAATACAGTTACTCATAATTTGTACTCTGATTACGTAACTCTGGTACATGTAATCTGTTACTCCCCAACACTGGGTGTAGTTCTCGACACTGGACATGTGATAAAATGATCAAATTGAGGATTCAGCAGCAGCGTCTTCACAACCTGCCAAAGATTTTTATGGTGGACGTGACTTTAATCGCAGCTTTGGTGTCACGTCCAGACAGCTGCTTGTAACTGTAGATCTGCTGAACATAATGGAACGCTACAATTACATCTTTCTTTCTTTTTTTTTTTTTTTTTTAAAGTTTGACAAATTATAATTACACAATACAATACAATACACAAATTAATAGGCAATTTACGAAAGAAAGAAGGAATACAATGACATTTGATCAGTTTTCCCAGATTTACTACTGCCAGCCGAGCGCGCTGGAAGTCATCATCCGCATGTTTCCAAACGTCTTATGGTTTTGGGACTTAAGTGTGAATAGAGCCCATTTCACAAAAGAGAAGCAGATTTACAGTTAGATCACGTACCGCCCAAAGACCTCCAGTGGCTGTGCTTGTTACATAATAACCCTGTGTCTGACTCTTTGGAGGCCCTTAGTCCAACTAGTCTGTCCTAAAGAAGCCGTTACAGAGACGGATTTTGGTTCAGATTTTTAACAAATATGCACTAAAATGCCAAAATAAGGCCATGGGTAGGCATACATTTCTAATTTAGACCCATTTAAACAGATAATCAGTAGGTGGTGTTTAGTGGCCCTAATAAACAATCACAGTGCAGTTGTGTGACAGCCATGCAAAAGAAGCCTACCACACTGCAAAAACTAAAATCTGGCCAAATTAAGATTACCGTATTTTCCGCACTATAAGGCGCTCTGGATTATAAGTCGCACTGTCATTAAATGGTCTATTTTCGAACTTTTTTCACAAATAAACCGCACCGGACTTTAAACGAAACACAGCAGTTGGATGGGTCAGTGGGACTTTGTTTGGCGTGTTCACAGTGACTCAATTGTTCAGTTGTGGCTCAGAGTGGCAAATTGCACTCGCTTTTGCAGATCGTTCCTCCGTTCCGTTCCTCGTCCGCATGAAGTGATGAGTGTGTCTGTGGGTGTGTTTCGCTGTGCGGTCGCTGTCTGCTCCGTGTGTGTTTGCGGTGTGGGTGGTGCGGCTTTGTAGTTTACTGAAGTCGTGCTGGGACACCCAAGTGGATTTGTGTATGGGGTGCTCTGGATTGCGGGGCGCGCAGTCATTTTTTGATGGGGTTAGAGGCTTAAGATCGCGTCTATTAGCCCGGAACATACAGTACTTGGATTAAGAAAGTTTTCACTAACTAAGGCCACACCAACAACGACATAATGCGAAGAAGTTTATTGATAATGTACGAAGCGAGGCAGAGATGGCTGGTTGAGACTCTGGGTGGGGGCTCCGTCTCAATCTTCAATTGGCCCAACCGGAACGGAACCCCCCCTTGTAGGGATCTTATGACTGAAAGATGAACAAAATAGGGGATGGGAGGGTGGGGTTGAGTTGCCGAGACAAACTGGGATGATGGGAAAGGCTGCTACATACAGGCTTCTGGGAAATTGGAGGTGTGGTCGAGGTGAGTTGTGGTTCAGTGGTGAGAGGAGAGGACGGCTGAGGCCTGGTCCTGCTCCTGAATCTCACTTAATCATATTAACTACATTTGTCATGATTTTAGTGCATTTCACTTGACAAGTATCATTATCTACCAATGGAACAAGACTTTTTCAAGTTAAAATATGAAAATACATCTTGCCACACTTAAAAACAACAACTCTTTGCACTTAAAATAAGAAACAAAATCTAAGATTGTTACAAAAAACAGACTTGTTCCATTGGTAGATCATTTGACTTGTCAAGATGAATCTACTCAAATAAAGTAACATGTTCTTAATTTAAGTCATTTTAACTTACCTAGATATTGTTTTTCTTTGAGATGAACTGTTCCTCGCCTGCACTGGTGAGAGGAGGAGGAGGAGGAGGAGGCTGCAGCCTGAGGAGAAAAACGCTGGAATTCCAAGAACTTCCAGGTGCCAAAGATCACCTGTCGTCCCTCAAAGGTGAACTGTGTCACTTTCCTGGTGGAAGGTCCCTCATATGCTTTTCTCCATGGAGATGTTACTGCTTTGTCTGGAATGTTCCACAGAATGGTATTCAGGGTTCTTTTTCACTGAAAAATTTTCTAAAAATTTCCATGTCTTTTTCATGACCTAAAATGAAATTTCCATGACTTTACAGCACCTACATGTGTAGAATTGAAATGTGAACTCTTTCCACTCACCTTATGGTTTGGGATTATAGTTTTTGAACATTCAAAATCCTGTCAGTGCATTTATTGTCGTCTCTTTTAAACAAAAGGTGCAGACGTTTGGAAATAATCATAATAGTCTAATAAAAACTAAACAGAACGCAGGAGTTGTGTGAAAGAGAAACTAAAATTCTATGACTTTTCCTAAACTTTCATTGAATTTACAAAATTCCATGACTTTTCCAAGCCAGGAAAATTACATTTTAAATTTTCATGACTTTTCCAGAATTTCCATGACCGTGGAACAGTGGGTATTTTTTTTTTTTTATTAGTTTTTAATTTTATTTTTATTTATTTTTTTGGAAATGTGGAATTGTTTTTAATCACTGTAAACCGTTTTGTGTTGCATTTTTGTATGAAAAGTGCTCTATAAATAAAGTTTGATTGAATGATTGATTGTATTAAACCTAACCTAACTATCCAAACTACAAACCAGACTGAGGGCAGAAGTTCCAGGTCATATCTGTGGAGAGGCGACCCCCGCTCACAGTCACAGTTTTTCTAGGTATTTTTGAGCTATAAAACCACCAGTAACTGAAGAAATGTAAAGTAGAACTGTTTAATGTCACACTGTGGAACATTCTAATCAGACTGATGACATATCCATAGAAACAAGCAGGTGAATGACCCTCAACCGAAAAGTTACATAGTGCACCTTTAACAAAGTAACGCAAAAACATGAACTTTTATTTACCATTATGAAAGATAAAGCTGCATAGATACAAGCCGCTCCGTTTCTTTTGACTCTGGTAAATTGTCACTTTTAATATCACATTTTTATTCAGCGCTTTTCCACCTTCGACGCTCTTTACATCGAGGAACCGCTCACCCGTTCACACACTTATACGCACGCAGACAGTGGGGGCGAGGGGGGTTAAGTGGGTTGCCCAAAGACACAACAACAGCATTCATCAAGCTGCGTAGGTGCAAAAACAAACTTTAGACTCCAATAGCACTAGTCTACCCATGCAACTGTCCCTACTTAGTCATACTACTACTACTACTACTACTACTACTACTACTACTACTACTACTAAATATTAATCTGTTTAGCTGTTTTCATATATTTCTGGCACTCATGATGTTTAGTTCAGAAAAGTACCTACCTTTTTCTGCCAGTCCACAGTTATACTTTCTCTTTCTCGTTCACTCGGGCCCTGCTGAATTCGGTCTGACATTTGATTCCACAGGATAAAAATAAACCGTGGTGGTGGTGATGGGATTATCAGAGGGTGAAAGAGTACTGAAAATATATATTCAATGGCAAAAATGTACTCAATTACAAGTACAAGTATTGCTTCCAAAATTGTAGTTCTGTAAAAGCGAAAAGTATGAAAGTGTGAAAATACTACTGGTACTTTCAATACTACTTTTAACACAATTTTAGTAGTATTTTTGGTCCGACAAAAAGTAAAACCGTTCATTTTGTTGTTTTAAACCTCAATCTCATTTCTCTTTCTTTGATTCCTTCTAATTGATTCCTCTCACACAACTCCAGGTCTGTTTTTTGATGAGGAAACATTAAAACATCAGCAGAAAATAGTTAATATGGGCTCTTTAAGAAATCTGCAAGAGATTATTACAGGCTGTTTTTTATTTTGTCAAAGGTCTGGGTGTCAACAATGAATATTTGGGGGAAAAAAGGGGGAATAGAAAGTTAGAAAGTTGAGGAAAGTTCAGAATTATGCGCGCTGTTTCATCTCAACAATAGATGGCAGTATTGTTCTAATAATCAAACAGCAGATCAGGATTCATA